CTGCCCCTAAACATGCAGGCGTTTGCGTTCGGTGTCTTTTATAAGGTTATGGTTTCCTTTCTCTGTGTGTGTTTGTAAGTGTCTGTCGAGGGGCATGGGGGAAGCAGAGCCCTCCCCTGCCACCCCCCAGCTCCGGGGGCAGTGCCAAGCCCCATGTCCCCTTCCTTGCCCTCGAGGCTATGGGGAGCAGGGGAACCAGTCCCACACCCCGGCCACCCTGCTGCCCCGGGCTGAAGCAGGTGCTGGGAGCAGGAGGGGGCCAAGGGGAGGCTGGCAGGGCTCAGCTTGTCCTCCTGAACCCCGATCCAGCAAGATGGGCACCCTGCTTGGTCCCGCTGCCCGCAGCATGGCAGCAGTGGGGCATGCCGTGGGGCTGGGGGGAAACAGGGCAGCGTGGGGCAGCGTATCACTGTGTGAGGACTGGGTGTCTGAGACCCATCACCACGGCTGGCAGCTCTTGGCACCTGCCTGAGCCACCTCCCTCCATCAAAAGATCTCAGGTCAGCAGTGCCACGGGGAGGCAAGTGGCTTACCGAAAGAAAAAATGTGGTTTTAAGGGGCAAATGGCTGCTGGCAGGGCGCTGGGAGTGCTCAGCGTTGCACCCGGGGGCTGTGCCTGGGTGTGGGGCAGGGGTGCACTTGGCACCTCTGTGCTCCCCGCTGCTGCTGGGTCAGTAACGCACTTTTCTTGGCTCGGTGCTGACGTGGTTTTGGGGAGACAGCCACCTTCTCCTCCTTCTCCCCTTGTCCCCCCAGCCCCCTGGGGACCCCCCCTTCCCATGCACGCTTGCGTGCGTGTGTGTGTGTGTGTGTGCACGTGTGTGTGCACGTCCATAGCTTGCCAGGGGGACAAGGGGCTGAGGGGTTTGAGTAGCCTTGGCCATGAGGAGAGTGCAGCAACCTCCTCCCCAGCCCCTCCGTGTAGGCAGGGTCTCGTATATAAAGCACAAACTTCGTTTTTGGTCTTCTCCACCATACCCTGGCCAGGCGGGCTCCCGCAGCCCCGGGGAGGGACAGGGCAGAGGGCGGTGGGACAGGGGTGGCATGCACCCGGCTGGGCCTGAACTGACCCCAGGAAGACAGTGCCAGCGGAGATGATCAGCATCTTAAGGGGTTTATTTCGAAGCAGGGCAAGCAGGCCCCTGAGCGGGGCGGGCGACGACACAGCCGGCTCCCCAGGCGCCCACTCGGTGGGAGCTGCTGGTGCTGCCGGTCCTCAGCGCTGACGGAGAGGGGCGTTTTCCACCTTTCTTGCCACCACTGCTGCGGTAGGGACAGGGGTCTGCCCTAAGTGGGGAGAGGAGGGGGGCAAGGCTGGTGCCACGTGGGACAGCTGGGGCCCTGGGGATTCGGGAGGACCACCACGCACTGCCCCAGCCCAGGCTGGCATGAGGACTGCCCCGGGACCCCGTAGCCCATCTCACTGCCAACCCAAAGCCCAGCTCACCCAGGGGCTGCGGCAACACCGGCTCAGGCCCCAGACATCCCCGGGGACGTGCAGTCAGCTTGGCCAAGGCAAACTTTGTTTGATTCTTCTTCTTTTTTTTTTTTTTTTTTTTTAAATAAACTAAAACCCTAGACTTGTTGGTGTTTTTACAACTCCGGTGTGGTTCCCGCCTGTCTGACCATGTGTCGACCTTTGTAACATTGGCAATAAACCATTAAAAGTGACTTTCCCATGAGCCCTGCCCATCCCGGCTCTTTGTCGCGCATGTGTCGCAGTGGGGATGCTGGTGCCTCTCCCAGGTGAAGGACCTGGAGCGCCCAGGGTGCCTGCCGCCTGGCTGCGTTTCACCCCAGCAGAGCCTGGTACAAAGCACACGCTGCCTCCAACCGCTGTGTGTTGTAGCTTTAATATGATTGATTTTTTTTTAATATACATATATATATGTATTTAAATATATTTCTTATTTAACAGTTGGTATCAGCCAGACAGGAGCCACCCATCTCGCAAAGATATGGGGGCCATATGACAGGATGGTCCCCAGTGTGGGGCCCACCACGTCTGCTCGCTCACGCACACATGCGGAGAAACCCCCACTCACACTGTGGGCACCCACCAGGAGAGGGGCGTCATGGCAAAGGGGTCTTGGGGACAGGCATGCACCGTCCCCTAGGTGCAGAGCTCCCACCCCAGTGCTGTGCCTTGTCCCTGCCTGCAAAAACACAGGGCAGGCAGCTGGGTCTGTCAGTGGCCTTGCTTGAGCAGGGGTTTGGGAGCAGATGACCTCCAGAGGTCCTTTCAACCGCAACCATTCTGTGGCTCTGAGAGCCTGGGGCTGCCTCAGCTACTTCTGATGCCATCCTCCTCATCATCCTTCCAGCAGGACAGGGCCTCCTGGTGGGAGGTGCCCTCAACTAGCCCAAGCTTGGTGTAAGACAGAGACAGGGATGGGGAAGGTTCCTTGATCTCAGCCACGCACCTGTGAGCTCCTGAGCAGAGAAAGCGATGGCTGGTGCCTTGAAGGTCATCCCTGCCTCTGCCCTGCTCACCCTGCAACTCCCCCCACCCTGAGCAAGGGATGCGCTGCCATCAGGAGCAGCCTTGGACAGAGCCTGTCCTTCCCTTCAAATATGCAAGGAATCTTAGACCCCAAGGCCACCACAGTGCCGTGCCTTCATGGCCAGGCCCTACTTTTCACCCACCACCAAGCTCTCTAGAGCTCCTGCTGACACTGAATAGACTTACAGGAAAGATAACACCCCAAAGCCACACATAACCTGATCGACAGTGAAACAGAGAAGGAGGAACCACAAACCACAGGATTCCTCCATAAAGGTTCCAGTGGAGGGCCAAAACCAGTGGCCTGTGAAGAGGGTACCCTGCATCCAGGCTTCCCCAACAGGTCCTCTTCTCCCATGCAGAAATTTTCTCTGGGTAGAAAAAGGAATTTGTGCATTTGTTGGGGATTTCCAGATGCTGGGCAGACGGTTGCGCTCATGCAAATGTGATGCATTACAGATCTGATGTGTTGTAGAGTTAAGAGGTGCAGTCAGGTGGAGGAGACAGCACCCCGCCAGCGCTGGTCACACAGCACCCCTGCTCCTGCACCTGCAGCCAGGCAGCTGGGCCAAGGTCCACTCAGGATTCTGCCCGTGGCAAGGTGGGAGCCCTGCTCTGGGTTCAAAAGCACCAACGTATCTCGCCTGAGGAACTTGGCCCCTTGGTTAAGTGGCAGTGGCCAGCTGAGAAACTTTTCTCTGCAGTCCAGCTGCTAGGTAGGAGATGAAGAGCAATGGTGAGGAAAGCAGGAGCAGGGGAAAAAAAGAGGACAGAAAACAAGACCAAGAGAGGGGGCAGAGCCATACCACCAGGGATGTGCTGAGAAAGGCTCCCAGGGAGCAATATGGGGAGCTTTTGCAGGAACCTCCAGCACCCTCCGGGTCCACAAACACCACACACGTGTGCCCTGGGGAGCTCTAAGCAGGACATCTCCCTGGAATGGATCCCTGAGCTCCTCTTGAGCACCGAGTTGTGACCAGCGTCACTGGTGTGACCACGCACCCCAGCATAACGGCCAGGAATAGAGGTGCAGCATGAGCGAGGAGGTCAAGGGCCAAAGAGAAGATGTGGTTTTGCAACCCACGAAGACCCAGGAGAAGAGAAGAGCAGGAGGACATGTGGCAGCTGCACTACAGAACTTGCATCACTAAAGGTGACCACGTAAACCAAGTGTGTGGGATGAGATGGGGTCAAAAAGCAAGCCTGGAGGGCACTGCTGAGTGTGCGCCTCCGTTGGCACTAGAAACCAGGTCTGCCCGGTGTTGGCCCTCTCTGAAAATGTCTCTGGCAGCCTGATGGAGAGCTGAGCACTGGGAAGGAAGGGGACTCAGTCTGCTAGGAATGCCCTGCGTAAGGTTTTACACTGGCACATCCGTGATGCCTAATGGACACGAGGGTGGGAAGACTGTTGGGAAGCCTTCTGCCCCCAATGGCCCCGCAGTGTGCTCTGCACATGCTAGGCACCCGGGGCCCTCCAGCCACGCCAGGGAAAGTCTGATTCAATAACGTTTGCAGAACATGGAAAATAAACCCACGGTAGCCTTTTTTTTTTTTTTTTTTTGGTGAGCTAAAGAAAGAATTAGTTTCTTCATGCACCTGAGCAAAGCTCAGAGCAGGAGCAGAGTAATTTCAAAACTGTCATTCCTCGGTCACCTGTAGGGTCTGGCACGGTGGGGCACCAAGGTGAAGGACTTGGTGATCCTCTCCACTGGGATGCACAACGCTGCAACAAGCTGGGGTCGCAGCTACCCCTTCCTACCACGGGCTTGGAGCCAACAGCCTTCCTGGCCTCCGGCTTTGGAGTGGCTCTGCTGAGAGAGCCTGGGGCCTCAGCAGCTCCATCCTCCCCAGCCAAGGCACAAGGGGGAGAGGAAGGTGAGACGCATGTTCCCTCAAGCAGAGGTGTTAAGAGAGACAGCACGAAAAAGAAGAGAAGAGGGGAGGGAGCAGGGGCTGGATGCATGCATGCTCTCGTGACTGGCCCTTTCAAATGCTTCCCGACCATGAAAGCATCCGTATCGCCGCCCACCACGGCCTGAACTGTCAAGAGAGAAGTTTTGCTGGAGGTGAGGAGGGACTGGTCCCACGAGCCCCAGCCATAGGTGGGGAGTGCCGAAGGGCTGCTCAGCGAAGGCCCCCTCCTGCACACCCACCCACGCTCACGCGTTACATCCCGACCAGCTCTGGAAAGCGGGTTTTTTCCAGTCTACCCTGAGCAGATTCCTCAAATGAAGGTGCTTTTCCTGGCGGGGGGAGAGGGCGGGGCCGGGGCAGGGCTGCGGGGACCTGGCAGTCAGCACTCGTTTGCTCTCTCTGGGAAGAAGATTTCGCGGCATCGCTGGACCGTGTCCTGGGGGGACTGGACGCTGTGTCCCACTGTGCGGGGATCGTCATAGATTTCATAATCGTTCCCTCCCTGCAGGGGAACAGAAAATAGGGAAAACGTCAGCAGGCTCTCAACATAGCACCCTCATCCGTGACTCGGCATCTTGCTCCATCCTGTGAGGGGCTGGGGTGGGAGCCAGCGCCTGGGCAGGCAGGGACCTGCTGGGAAGGATCTGCCAGGGCTTTGCTGGCCCAGGGAGGCAGAAGAGGCTGGGCTGGGAGCCCTGCTCCCTCCCTCTTGCCTCCTCTCTTCAGTGCCAGGAGAGGAGCTAGAAAGGATGGGGAAGGTCCTAGACTGTCAAAGCTTGCCCAGGAACCTGGGGTTAACCCCTGCCCTGCCTGTGGAGGGGCTATCAGAAGGTGGGGTGGTCACATTTGGGGGGGGGCAGAGGTTGTCATCATCTGGGAAGAGCTGAGTGGATGGCCAAGCTGGTCTACAGCAGCAAGGAAGCATCACCCTCCACCACTCTAAAGGGAAGGTGAAGCTCCTCCTGCTGTTGAAAAGCCCTCTCCTAAGTGCTGGGGGTTCCTGGTTTGGGTCCTGTGGGTTCCTGGTTTGGGTCCTGTGGGCCACAGGAGTGGCTACCCCCCTCCTGAGGATGCCGGGGTGGAACAGGGAAGCGATGCTGAGGTGGACCCACTCCCCAGCACAGTGAATCCAGGGCGATCTCCCCACCATCCCGCAGGCCTGCTGCCATCACGAACCTGCTGCAAGGGAGCATCTCTCCCCCTCACACCACTAGAGGTCTGTGTCAGCCGCTGGCAGGGCCCAGGCCATGGGACCCGTGATGGAGCGGCTCCATGCAGGCTTGCCAGGCTGAAAGAGGGAAAGCAGCCATGTGTGGGGCAAGCGGGGCGTACTCACAGGGGTCGTCTCGTTCCCAAAGAAGTGGATGGTGTCAAATCTCTCATCGTCGAGCACGTTGAGGCAGTAGCGCTTGTCCCAGCCCTCCGGGAAGACGTCAAAGCTGATCATGCCACCTGCCAGCGGAAGGGAGGGCGTTGGGCAGGGTTGGTGGGAGCCAGCGGGGTGTCTCCCCACCAGGGGACAGGCAGGTGGAGGGGAGAGGGCTGGACATGTGTGGGGAGCCCCCCCGCAAACAGCAGCCAGGCACCAGCTCTGCCTTGTGCCTCTCCGGCATGTGGCTAGGACAAGATCCCAAGAGATGCATCTGTTGGGGGACATTTGGGGTCACACCTTGCAGATAGCATCCGCATATTCTGTGTCCCAGCGGGGGACAACGCCCTCAGAGGCTGGCACCACTCTCTCTCCTAGGCTCCTGCGTGGACATTGCTGGCCCTTCTGCAACCACTGCTCCCACGCACCTTAACTCTGCAGGGTCCGGGGGCTCCCAGCACCCTGCACAGGCAAAGCAAACCCCCCCACGCTGAGGGGCCCGAGCAGGCTCTGCACGCTGATCAGGGACCTTGCCGCAGAGGTGCCATGAACCTGCTGACATCATCAAGCACGACCCTGGCCTGTCACCTCTCACCACAAGACTCAAGTGCAGGTTGCCAACACCTGGAGGGGCACCAAGGCAGATGGGGCAAACGTACAGAGGTAAAGGAGCTTTCCCAGAGAGCACGCATACACAGGCACGCGGACACCCACAGCTACCAAGGGTTAATGAGCTTCCTAGCCCTTGCTCTTAGACCGGGGAGAGTTTACCCCAGCACTGCGCTGCCATTTGGGGGGCTGCCTTTTGGGGGTGCACAGAGGCAGCACCCTCACCTCCTCTTCCCCGCTGCGTGCACAGGCTGCAAAGCTGGTCCCTTGTCCCATCACTGACACAGATGACACACTCCTCCCAAAACAAAGCCACTAACTTAGGGCATGTGTATGTTTGGGTCTCGCTTGGGCCCTTGGAAGGGATTTGAGCTGGGACATGCCTCTCCCTGCCAGATCAGGTCTCTGCTCCTCTTGGTTTCAAGGGGCCCCCCCTGCTTCTCCAGGCAAACTACTGGTCCACCAGCAATCCTGGAGTTTCACGCTTTCCTTTTTCATAAATCATAACCTCACCTCTCTTAGGAAGGGGGTGAGTCCCTGCTGCAGGAGAGGCACCGATCCCCGGGGCTGTGCAACCATGTACGTCCCGATGCCATGCTCTCCTCTTCCCTGGCTGGTTGAGGTGTCCTCAGGCTCCAAGGAGGGTTGGTTTGGGGATCCAGGGATGGAGCCTGTGTGTCCAGCTCGGGGCAGAGGATTCACTACCAGGCAGGATGCCCCAGGCAGGGCACTGCGATACAGACAGGAGCAAGTGCCCTAGGAGCTCAGGGATGGGGGTGCCTCCAGGTTTGCAGGAGGAGCCAACATCAAAGCAGCAGCTAAACTTGGTTGCCTTCATTAAAACCCTTCCTGGTTTTGTTTCCAAAGCCATTTATGTGAGAAAAATGCTGCATTTTGCTGCATTCTGGACTTTTAAACAGAGCTGGGCAGCAAGAAGGGGCTCCTGATGCCAGCTGGAGAGGGTAGGAAACCAAAGGGACAAGAGGTGGTATGGAGGACAGCCAGCACTGTCCCTTGCCTAGGCAGAGGACGGGTCTGGGGGGCTGCAGGGAGATCTCCTATCACCTCCAGGGCTTGCGTCCTCCACTGCCTGGGACAAGGCATGCAGAGCCAGCTTGGCACAAAAGCCTCATTTCTGCGTGTCCCTGTTTTTGGATGCTTGACCTGAGACACCCCGTATTTTCTTTATGGAGGAGCGGGGGGCCTGCAGCTCCCCTTGTCTTTATGCTTTTCCACAACGGGCTCTTCATGGCGACTTCCCGAAGCCAGAGGAGAAAGGCCTGTTGTTCTCCTCTTGTCCCCTGTGCCTGCAGGGGCACGGCGGCAGGGACCTCGTCTTTCTCTGCTGTGACAAACAGTGCATGTCAGTGCTGCGGGCAGCAGGGGACGCCCCTGGCAGGAGGCTGAAGGCAAGGGGAGGCTCTCAGGAGGAAAGCCCTTGGAGAACCAGAGGGCCAGACCCTTGCTGCTGGCCCATGCTGGGTGCAAGAGTGGGGTGTCACCTGCTGCCTCCCAGCCTTGTCACCCCCTTGGCCTTTGGCTAGGCTGCCACACGTACCCCTCTTATCTCACACGTACCCCTCTGGTCTGCGGAGGATCTTCCTCCAGCGTCAGCCCCACCACTTACACACCCTCATTTTCCTCCCTGTCCTGGCCAGACCCCCAGGATTGCTCAAGCCCCTCCTTTGGTTCCTCATCTTCAGTAAGCTGGCTGTAAGAGCCACCCCAAGAAGTGGCCCTGCAAAAGCCCGTGGCATGGAGCTGCAAACTCCTTGCCTCTCAGCAGCTCTTCCTCCAGGAAGAAAGGTGTTTCCCTTGTAGCCAACCCTCCCAAGAAAACCCCAGAGCTGAGACATGCATGAGGCTCCTGTCTCATTCCTAGAGAGGTGTGCATGTGCCTGGAGCTCTGCTGGCCACCCTGCTGATGATGCTTGAGCCAGAACAGACCTTCCGCGCAGGGCTGGGCTCCGCAGAGCTAACTGAAATTAAGGCAGGGATAACATCATGGGACAGAAGCCCATCTGTCTGTCTGACTCCCAGGGAGGCAAACCTGCAGCACAGTTTATTCTCCGCTGTCACCCTGCCACAAGATGTGAACACGACACCCCTGTGGTCTCCAGGACCAGAAGCTCCTTATGCTCTTCCTGGGGTCTCCAGGCCCCCAGAAGGAACAGCCAGGACTCCCGCTCCCCCTCCCAGCGTTTTATGGGCAACAAGAGGCCAAGGCAAAGCCAGGGAAGCCCCCTCCACTCACCTCGAGAGAAACGCAGGCCTTTGCCAGCAAACTCCCTCTGCAAGGCTGCCACAAACTTCTCCCGGATCCGCTCTTTCTGCAGAGGAGACAGAGGAAAGGAAAGGAAAGAGGGGTTGAATAATTAGATGTTGACTGTCTACCAGAATCCAACCTTAGCTGTC